AAACTTTAGATGCAGCTTGATAATAGATGCCTAATCTTTAATAATTGCTTTTGATTTAGACATTACAAATATATAAACAGACAACTCACTAGTTTTAGATAATGTATGAGTTTTCTATGGTTAGAAGTTACCACAGACTATGTGGTTTAAACCAACAGAAATTTCTTCTCTCACAGTTCTGGAAGCCAGAAGTCTGAAAGCTAGGTGTTGGCAGGTCTGCGTTCCCTAGAGAGGCTTAAGGGGAGAATCTGTTCCTTCCTTTTTCTAGTTTTTGGTGGTTGCTGATTTACTTGCCTTGTGATCACATTTCTCCAATCTCTGCCTCTGTCTTCACTTCACCCCTGTGTCTATCTTTACCATACCATTGGTCTCTTACAAAGATGCTTGTTGTTGGATGTAGGACCCCCTCAGATTAACTTAATTATATCTGCCAGGACCCTTTCCCAAATAAAGTAACAGCCACAGGTTCTGGGGATTAGGATGTGGACATACCTTTTTGGTGGCCACCATCATCAGCCCACTACCCATTCATCGTTCTGAAAAGAAAATTCAAATCTTGGCTCTGCTCCTTACTAGATGTGATCTTTTGGCAAACTAATTAAATTTCCTGCTATGTAAAATTTAGACAATACTATCATAATATGCAGATGAATATGTATCTTTGAGATTTATTTGTATATAAATATATGTCCTTAAAATCTTTTCATATTTTTATTTGCATAGAAAAATATCATAAAGATGACAGCCAAGCGATATTAGTTATCTCTGGAAGTAAAATTTGAGGAATTTTGAGAGGGAACAGTAGAAAGAGAACTACCCTACGAAAGGGTAGTTTTGAGAGTTCAGTGAACTGTTAAAATGAACCTAGTACAATATTAGGCAAATAGAAGATACTTGGTTGCTATTATTAATAAAATTATGTGTCTTTGAAGACAATTAGTATAGTTGCTAAAAGGAATTATAAGAGATAAGTTTTTAACATATGTTTAAATCTTTGTGTTTAAGTCTTGTTTGCTTTTTGTAGTTCTGAGCCTTTAATATATAAAATGTTACAACAGTGTTTAAGTTTCATAGAAGTTGAAACCAGTACTTGGCATTAAGTCAACTCTGGAAGATGTTTATCACTGGTGGGTCCTGTAATTTTCATGATTTATTTCAATAGGCTTAGTAATATGCTTGTGGTTTCATTTATTAGAAAGGGCTTTGCCTTAAGGGGAAATATTCCAAGCAGTTTTTCCTGGTAATTACAGATAGCTTTACTGTCTCTTTTCCAGTCTAAAAGTAGAATTATTATATTTTTTAGTGGGGATATTTTGATTTGTTTTTTTTATAACCAGGCAATATTTGGGACAAGTGAGAAAATGTATAGTCTCAGATTTCCATAAAACATTAAAAAGAAAATAAACATAGTTAAATATGAATAGTTTTGGCTTTATTTTGATGGCCTTTTAAAAACATTGGCCAAATTAAAAGAAAGACAATAATAAGTGTTAGCATGGATGCAGATAAAGTGGAACCCTCTTACATTCCTGGTGGAATTGTAAAAATAGAGCAGCCATTTTGAAAAACAGTTTGGCA